GCCGATGGATGAAATCAAGTTCGAAGACCCTACGCCTGCCCGCGTAATCCCTCGTTTCGCGGTTGGTTTAATTAGAAACTTTCTGCCGTCACGTGTGACCCGACACGCTGTACCTACGATACATACGTAGCGGCGGCTTTGCTGACAAATCGATCGAGAAAAAAAATGCGATTGCTCGGCGTTTTTTCTTTCTTTCTTTTTTTGTTTTTTTGTTTTTTTTTTTTTTTTTTTTTTTTTTTTTTTTTTTCTTTCGAACTTCAACACGATGGGGCCAAAGCACATGGTTTCTGAGAAGTTTCTAGATTTTCGAACGCGCGGCGGGAGGGGAAGGGGAAATTTGAACACTAGCGAAAAATCGAGTCACTACATACATACGTACGAAGCAACAAAACGAGATTTATAACGAATGCATCGGCGCGAGGTGCGGGGAGTTTTTGCGTGAAACGTTAAAAACTTTCGGGGGAGGGGGGGGGGGGGGGGGGAGGTAGAGAAAAAAGGAAAAAAATCGTGAACGATGGCCGCAGATATCTCGAGTCTCTATCAATTCATCGGATATTTTTCTACACGGGTTCGATTTAGATTTTTCAAAAAAGAGAAAAAAAAAACAAGTGCGTGTAGCGTGTGTGTAAATAAACGGCAATTTTAGAGGAGTATTGTATTATATTATTATTACATTATTTACTATCGATTTACATGAAACGTTTACACCCAGACTAAGGTAACAACATATTTCTCTATAAATTTACATCGAAGAAAAGACATAGAAGTGTAAAAGCGTCGAAGTTGCGAAAGAGTTTTGGAACGACACTTGAATTACTTAGGGCACCGAGCTCCGGCGTAAGCTAAGCTTTCGATTGTTTGTACAATCACAACCTTAATGTGAGAAAAAAAAAAAAAAAAAAAGAAAAGAAAGAAATATTTCTAGTCCTTCGACTTATAATGATAATTCCGACATCTCTCTATGGAAACGAGCGACAAACAGAAACAAAACAAACAAAAAAACAAAAAAAAAGAAAACAAGGAAAAAGAAGAAAAGAAAGAGAAAAAAAAAAATAGCGATATACTGTACTGACGTATTCCTTTGTCTCGAGATACATTTCGACTTTTTCCTTTTTCGTTCGCCAATTGTTACTATTTATACAAGATACACGTAACGTCTCGACTTAACCGCGGTAGACGTAGAAAAAAGAGATTGAAATTGTTATTCGAGAAACGTATTATTCAGTGATCGAACTCGGAACGAATCCTTCTCGTGGCATAATTGCACAATTGAACGAGGCACGATGATAACTATGCGATATATCATTTCGTCCACGCGGTCTCTCTGTTAACCTAGAATATCCAGAATCGAGCTTTCACCGCGTAGATTATGCTTCACCGTGTTACGTACACCGACGTTTCCAACGTTCGAAATCGAACGACAGAAGAATTTCTTGTTTCTCCATCGTCTCCTGTCCTTTCCGAGTTCAACAAGCTTCGTTCCCGTAACCGCGTTCGCTAGATCGAAACGCGCGATCTTAGCCCGCGAAGCTTGATTGTGTATAATTAAACGAAAGCGTAATATAAACCTAGAGGACGTAGAAGAAGAATTTCTTTCGAAGAAAAATCCCCTTGAGAGATATACGACATTTAGATGATGTAATCGATAACCTGTTGCAGATTGTAGCGATCAATTAAAACGACGCCGTTTAATAGTAACGACAGAAAAAAAAAAAAAGAAAAAATAATGAGATAAAAAAAGGAACGAAAAAAAAAAAAGAAATACAATACGATAGAGACATTTAATAATCGTTAATGCGTTAAGTTTAAGGGCTTATGGTTTTTTCGACGCAGCTTTGCTCGATCAGTTTTGTAGAGAAACGAGAAACGGTCGGAATTCACGTGCTTACGTCACTCCGTTCAAGATCGTTGCCATTATCGCCGTTATTATAATTACCGCCGTTATCGCCGCTATTATTGTCGTTACTGTGGAAAAGTGAAACGTCGTCGTCGATTGCCCTTCGATCATTCTTACCGACGTTGTTACCACGACGACTCGAAGGGAGAAACGAGAGACGCGAAATCCGCGGATCGAGCCACTCGCACAGGACAAGCAGCTTCTCGACTTTTAATAGGCAACTTTGAAATTTACATCTCGGATAGAAAAACGATTTATCTGTGCACCGTGTAATAAAACGTAGACCCCTCGGTTTAAGAGCGCGTTCACCACAAGGAAGGAGGAACGAGAAAAAAAAAGAAAAAAAGAAAACGAGAAAAAAAAAAGAAAAAAAAAAGAAGAAGAAGAATATAAAAAATAAAGTTAACAAATAAACGAAGCCACCTAGGCGAGAGAACAATCTTTCAGTTCCGTTTTTCCATTGCTTTGATGGGTACACGTGTTATATGGATAAGCATTATCCGAATAACAATGAAATAATAGAAACATACTAGGTAAGGAAATGTTTGCAAATGAAATTGATAAGTGTTTTAATATTGTATCGAAGTGTGTGTATATACATATGTACCAAGCAAACAAACAAACAAACAAACAAACAAAAAAAAAAGAAAAAAAGAGGACAAAAAACAGAAAAAAAAAGGAAGAAAAAGTGAAAAAGATGAACACAAAGAAACGTTACCAATGTCGATGCCTGTTGCCCAAACCTTTCTCCCAACCATCCCCCGCCCCTTACACCGCCGTTTGATTCACTGTAACGATATTTAAAAACACTTTACGATTCGAGGCCCCCGATATGTAAAAATCTTGCGCGGGCTGAGTCTTCGTTTGTTGTACGTTTCAGTATAGTGTCCGAATATTGTCGCAGGGCGACGATTCACTGTCGATCAGCCTCTTGAACGTTTCGTCCATCCGCTAAATCAACTTGTTCGACGATTGAGGTAGCAATAAACATTCGTTTGCTTCCCCTGTTTCTCTCGACTATTTCGAATAATCCCAATGGTTGTGCAACAACAATTGGGAGCAGAGGCAGTTGCGACAGTGAGTCACGCTCCTCACCCCACCTCCCCACAACGATTAAATATAATAAGTTGCAAATAAGTATACGTATTTTCTCAATGAAAACGGTAAAATGATGTATATATATGTATATATATGTATATATATGTATATATATGTATATATATATGTATATATATATATATATGAAATTATACATATATATATATATACCTACATAATAAAATACTTCCACTGTAAACTTGTCTCGTTCTTTTCCACAATGCCTGGATCCTTTTGCGTGATAACTTGACAATTCGTTTGTGATCGTTGAAAAAAAGTAGCAGGGAAGCTTTAAGTTTAATCATTGAAAACTCTGAAATAGGAAAATAAACGAACATTGATCTATACGTACAGTAGATTAAAGCAGGGACAAAAGATAACAGTTAATAACAGAAATTCTTACGAAAGAGAATCAGTAACTGAAGTTTATTATATGTTTATTATTTACCTCGAAATGTGATGAAAGTTAAAACAAGGAAACCACGTGATTAAAAAGTTAAACGTTTTGATTACAAATAACAATTATAAGTGATCGAAAATTCGTTTCGTTGCCGATAATCATTATTGCGGGAAATTCTATTTCGATACGAGAGTGTCTTTTCTAGTTTTCCATCGACTCAAGTTTTAGTAGAGAAATCGTCTGACTCTGGTAAGGTGAAGATCTCATAAATCTCAAAATCGTCTGACTCTAATAAGATGCAGTAGAGAAGCTCGTCTGATGTTAGTATCTGGATAAGGAACAGTTCGCTTATCGGGAAGAAATCGTTTGATCTCCAATCGATACAGATCCCCTCCTGAGCATTCTAATCGCGAGTGTAACTCTTAACAATCAACGCGCAGCGAGCAGTATCTGTATCGTATATACGTAAATCTAGCTAACAACTTGGACTTCCTCTTTTATAATCACTGATTATATATTATTAAATTACATTAAATTTTTATTTTAATTAAACACCAGACAGTATCTCTGAAACAAACCATTTTCAAATTAGATTTTTAATAAAATTTTCAAAAATAAACGTTAATTATTAAGAAACGTCATCATAATTCCACGTTCATAAAAAACAACGTGCCTCTTCGTTCCGTCAAACATTATAACATGCAATACTAATCTACAACAGTATGTTCTTCATGCAATACTAATCTACAACAGTATGTTCTTCAATACTATCAAATGTGCCAACTATGGATACAATTCTTATTTCAGTAATAAATAATTAAAAGTATAACTTAATTGTAAATAACAAACAAATTTTTTATTCAAATAAAAATCATTTAAATAATAGAAGAAATAATTTGTTTCTTATTCTCGATTTTAAATAAATAAATAAAAGATTGTGATCCAATCAAAACAGCGAGAAAAGTGTGGAAAACAAGTGGAACAATTTTAGACTTTAAACTACTATCCGACATCAATAATAATAATAAATAATAATAAATAATAGATAAATTGCAATTTTAATATTTTAATTAATTTATACCTATCCGTTAAAACAACAAATAATTATTTTTTCGTTTTATTTAAACTCTCGAATATTTAAATAGCTTTGTATTTAAATATTTATGTAAATAAAGATGTATTTGAACGATATCGAACACTACGATACGCGCTATACAAAAACATGTCACTGAACACCTCTTCAATAAAAACCATATCGTGATTTTACACTGAAAAAGAAAGAGAAAATGTACTTGTACATGTGAACTTTCCAAATATACGATATGAAACAATTTTCACTTCTGGCTATAAATCGATACGTGATAAACTAGTTGTACATTCAAGAGACTGTAGCAATCATATTTGAGGCATATACATTATTAACATCAATAAAGCATGTCACGTTGGTTTGCACTAACGTATCATTTTTACTTCACGCGTGGAAGTTCGCCCTAGATGAAACACGTATCAATCAAGTGTCTGGATAGATCAAAGTGACTTCAAATCACTAAAGCCACTAATTATCGTATAAGTTAAAACCGAGATTGGAAAGAAAAGCGGATCGTCATGCATACCGGACAATATACGGACATATCCATTAAAATGTTACACTTTCTGCTAAAACTCACTGGAATCTCGGTGACGACGAACGACATCGAAGAACGTGGAAGGAAATTCGCGGTAGTCTACACCATCGTTGCACTCGTTTATGGCGTGTATGTGAATGTCGCCGACATTTATCATAGTATGGATGATTTGGACGTGAGTATGTTTTAACTGGCAATCCTCCAGGAAAATCGTTTTTCTTTTTTCATGTTACCGTTGACGATAAACTATGTACAAGTAGTTAAGTTGTACAGTTAAATTAGATAGACATATTACTAAATAGTTTTAAACAATGATTATAAACAAATATACAGTAGGAAATTACGGAAGTGATTTAATAATTATTCACAGTTTAATTACAAAGTTTGTTAGAATGACAATTAAATTCTTACGACAACATTATCTTTTAACGTAGACTTTTTGCTCACACATGTGGTCCAGCTTTGTACGAACTTTCATGTATATTTCGAAAAAGATGAAAAAGCGTGTTATGCATACGTTGTTTTTTAAGCTCTTTGCAATTGATTTTAAACTTACCGATGTGTTTATACTTAGAACAAGAAAGAACATCGTCCACCCACATACTGTGCCGACCACAAACCTAGAAAACCACTTTAGATTACAAAACTGAAATACTACTCCACTTTCCTTTTATACAAATATATAATAATAATATATAATAATAATAATTACTATTGTAATGAACAGAAAAAAATCTAAGATGGATAGTTGAAATAGTCATGATAAATGAAAATCAATCAATGCTAGCAAACAATATAATACTGATTATTAATCACTAGACTGTGGATATTTAAATTTAAATATAAATATAAATTTTGAATATAAATTTGCATAAAAATCCGCAGTCTACAACAATCACTGCTCCTTTCGATTATACAGATTAACATCGTAAACCATTGTTTCAGCATTGTATCTTTTTGACATCTAACACATTGAACATAGTCCTAGCGATGTTCAAACTTTCGGTAGTAAGTTTTTATAGAACGGAATTCTCGGACATAATTCTATACGCACAAAAACATTTCTGGCATCTCGATTATAACCACAATGAGAAGCTACTTTTCGCGGAGTGTCGAAAGATTTGCACTATGTGGACCATATTTCTTGTCTTCGTTACTGAAGCTGCTTTGTCCTTCTATGCAATTGTCCCGATCTGTGGTAAGTTGATTATCATCAATCAAAAGATTAAATAAAGTTGCTATTTCATAAAGAGGAAATACTTTTAATATTTATTGCATATTTCTTATATGTTTACAATAAAAAATAATTTACCATATTTTTTTTACTACGTTGCACTCATGCTTCCAGCAAGTATTGGAAATAATAAATCGAATAGAGTACTTCCAGTCAGCATGTGGATCAATCTACCGCAAAACGTGTCACCTTATTACGAAATAATGTTCACCACCCAGGTGCTCTAAATCTCCACTTACGTATACTTCAAGATAAAAATACTTTTACAAGTTTCAATAAGCTTTCAATAACTCAATAACCACGTTATAACAACTGTGTCGTTGCCAAAATAATCCATGCGAATTTATGCAAAAGAAAGCAGCAAAATGCTTTATTAAAATATGCATTTTGCAAGTGCATTAACGGCTATGCAAATTAATTTGTGGCACTTTCCTCGTGGATTTTTCCTTTGTTTACAAAATATATAAAATACATTTTAGTCATTAGGGAAAGCAATCTTTGCCACTTTTCGTACATTCCATCTCTAAAAGAAATGATGGCATTTTTGTATCTCAACAACAGTTTTTCCAACCTTTTAAAACGTTTTAAAATACACATGGATCAGATGAAGTGACAGAAATGAGAACATAATTTCAAGAAGCTAACTTTGCCAAATGGCTACGCAATAGAAAGTTTCCAGTCTCTGAAATATGCAAATATCACTTCTTTCAGTGAATTTGCCTTATTTAAACGTGCATTTTTCAATTACTGAAAAGCGAAAGAAACATTATAAAACAACACTGTTTTTTGAAGTTACATATATCTAACAGAACTGATTTGTCTTAGGCTTCTCAAAGCTCATTTCCAACTCAAAATTCTCAAAGAGCTTGATGATTCGAATGCAGAATAATAATTATAATTAATTAATTCACAAAATAAATCACTGAATTAACTTGTACATCTGATATTCGAAACTTGCATTACGTTTTTAAACTGCACAGTTACTGGTTTTACAACTTTTGGAAACACGATAACGCGACATGTATCACAATCACTTTCTTCATCGGTAATTCCACGATATTTACATAGGTACTGGCAGTACAACATATTGGCGTAAGCTTCGTAGGTCCTGAGAACGTCTTATGCGTGTTGAATCTGCACGTGGTCTATCAATTTCGTATGCTGCAAAACACTTTATTGAATTTATGGTCAGACATCGACAAGGAGACGGATATTGTCGCTTACTCGAACAAATGCTACGAAATTCTGAAGAAATGTATCCAAAAGCATCAGTCGTTAATCGAATACAGCGCTAAACTCGAGGACATCTTTACACTGCCGATCCTCAGCACTATGGTTATCTTTAGCGTGCTGATGTGTTTCGACACGTACGAGATGATACTGGTACGTCTGCGCAATGAGCTTCTATCTCCTTTGATTTTTCCGATTTTCAACCCTTCCGATCCGATGAACGTTGAGAAATGAGATGCTGTAAGTTGAAATGACACAGAAGAAAGAAAAGTTGTCCTGTCGCTCGATTCGTAATACGTGTATAATCGTAGGATCACCATGATGGTATTAGCATGAAGAATTTATTTATCTTGTTAGGTTACCGTATTATAAATTTATGTTGTTATAAATTCCAAAGATTCGCTTAATATATTTTCGTTGTTATTCGTTTCTACTTGAATGCCACCATTTTACGAGAAATTTAAACAATTGAAGTATTAATTAATATTAAGATAAATGTTTGATTTGACAAAATTGACTGTCTATAGTGGAATTTAAACAATTGAAGTATTAATTAATATTAAGATAAATGTTTGGTTTGACAAAATTGTCTATAGTGGAATTTATTTAGTTAAATCAAAGTCATACTTATTATAATTAAGAGAATTAAATAAATATTTCCCACTGTTTCCAAAAGTGTTCTAATTTTTAAAATTCCAATTTAAAATTTCTAACAATAATTCTTTACATTAGGGAGACATACCTACCGGGACGCGCCTTACTTTTGTTTTCCACATGCTCGGTATCTTCTTCTATATCATTTTCTTCACATACATCTGCCATGGTTTAGTAGAGGAAAGCTCGAATATCAGCATGGCATTGTATTCAGGATGGTGGACAATATTGCCAATGAATGAATCTGGAAAAATGATGCGAAAAGACATGAACATAATAATGATGAAGTCAATGCGACCGTGTCATCTCACTGCCGGAGGTTTCTTCCCTGTCATCATGGAAACGAGTACCACGGTACATAACCATTCAATTTTTGATAAAACTTTTGGAAAATCCATCCAGTATGAGCAACTTTTATTTCACTATTTCGAATATGCAATAGAATACAATATAAATTTTGGCAACAACTTCGCGACAATAATCAAATTTCTTGTTGATTTCAGGTGATAAGCACAACAATGTCATACTTCGCTCTTATGAGGGAGTCATCTTTGAGAGCAAAAGAGGGTAACTGATTATGAACACACACATATACGCAATGGAAATATTTTAATGCTTGCAAATAGACTTCAATACTTGTATCCGAAATAATTGCGAAATAAAATTTATATCATCGAATGACATCACTAAGCCAACAATGTTTCCTTGATTTCACAATAAGCAAGATTCGAAGCAATCCTTATTTTTTTCTTCACTAACGAATCACTAACGAATTTTAAACAAACTCAGATCACACATAAACCTTGTCCTCTCGTGAAATTTTTTCAAGAAACTTGCCCTTCGATTCTACATGAAGCAATAAGAGTTTCCATCGATTCACAAAACAAAGTACTTTTCTGTTGTTTAAAAATAATACAAGCATTTGCAGGTTACTTTGTGCATGGCCACGATCGTTTCTCTTTCTTTATATTGAACACCTGCGATGTTCCGTTCAAAGCCCTCATTCATGAATAATGCATCTATTACGCCTATTCATTTCACACGAGAACATGAGAAGTGGCCGTACAATTTTTGATTGGCGTACAGGCAGATGGTCAGAGGGTCATCACGACCAAACACTTCATGTTTAATATCGCGTGAGGAATCGATTGAATATGTAGGTGACGTGCTTCAAGAAAATGCACATCATCTTTCCTCTGACTATTCAACGTCCATCATGCATGTGCTACACAATAGGAACGTCTCGATAATTTGGGCGAGTTTTCTCATGAAAATCGTTGGCCTGTGGTTAGCAGCCGATCAAAACGAGCAGTGTCGCCGAGATTTCGCTCTGATTTACACGCTTGGGGCACTTTTCATCAGCATATGCATCGCACTTAGAGATATCTATCATACCTGGGGAAATTTCAGTGTAAGTACGCGAGAGTTTGACTTTGATCAATTTGTCTTTTCACTCTTTATCCATTCATGCGTGTATTGTGTTATAAATAAATGGAATTTAAGAACTGAGATAACTGGGAACGCGTAGAAAGATCTTTTTAAGATTGATCTATTAAATTCTTTTAAACCTGATTGTTGTTATCTAATTTTATTTCACAAAATACGCATGAGGAATACTGGTCAAAAGACAGCCTGAAAATCCCTCAGAAGAAACAGGCAAATTTGCAGACTAATTTCGTATTATTTTCACATTTGTATCTATAATTACAGGATTGCGTTTTTATTTCTTGCAATATTTTATACGTGATGGTGGTTTTCTTAAAAATCGGCATTTTATACAGGCACAAAATCGAGTTCTTTAATTTACTTATGTTCACGCAGAAGAATTTCTGGCGTCCGTATCATGATCCACAAGAAATACTAATTGTTACTGAGTGTAAAAAGATATGCAACGTTTGCGTTGTCCTTCTCATCTTTTGTGCTCAGGGCAGCTGTGCTGGTTATATGATAACTCCGCTTATAGGTAAAAAGAAATATCGTGACATCTACTTTTTAATATAAAAAGTGATGTGATATTAGATTTAATGAAACGCTTTCTGCTCTTCAGCGAATATAGGGAGAAACGAATCTGATAGAATGTTGCCGTTCAACTTGTGGGTCGATTTACCTATAGGAATGTCGCCTTATTTTGAAATATTATTTGCTATCCAGGTACAACTAGTACAATTCTTTCTTGCAATTCTGCAATTTTTGTTTAATTTGGAAGATCGTACTTATTTTAACCCTAGAACGGCACTATGGGATTACCACACATCAGAAACAAACGCCTAGAACAGTGTCAACTGTTTCGTAACAATATTTGTAATCAGATTTCTGTTGATCTGATATATGTGTATATATATANGATTTACACGCTTGGGGCACTTTTCATCAGCATATGCATCGCACTTAGAGATATCTATCATACCTGGGGAAATTTCAGTGTGAGTACGCGAAATTTTGTTCAATTCGTCTTTATCACTATTTCATGACCGTGTTGTATTGGAAATAAATTGAGATTCAAGACAATTGACTTGGAAATGATGCACAGAAATTGATACACTTTAAATGAACTGAAAACGATGCATACATTGATACATTTTAAATAAACTGACTGATATATTGAAACTTTTCGAATGAATCCCATTGTTAACCCACTTTCAGCTTATTTTATTTCACGTAATACACATTAAAAATACTGACTAAAAGATTGTTAAAATACTGACTAAAAAATTCTCTCGCGGAAACAGATTAATGTACAATTTAATTTCATATTACTATGACATCTAGATTTATGATTTCAGGATTGCGTCTTCATTTGTTGCAATATTCTATACGTGATGGTGGTTTTCTTTAAGATCAGTATTTTATACAGGCATAAAATCGAGTTCTTTAATTTACTTGTATTCACGCAGAAGAATTTCTGGCGTCCGTATCATGATCCACAAGAAATACTAATTGTTACTGGGTGCAAGAAGATATGCAACATTTGCATTATTCTTCTCATCTTTTGTACTCAAGGCACTTGTGCTGGTTATATGGTGACTCCGCTTATAGGTACGTAAACGGAAATACCGTTACATTTACTTTTTAATATAAAAAGTGATATGATATTAGATTTAATAATGAAACACTTTCTGCTCTTCAGCAAATATAGGGAGAAACGAATCTGATAGAATGTTGCCGTTCAATTTGTGGGTCGATTTACCTGTAGGAATGTCGCCTTATTTTGAAATATTATTTGCTATCCAGGTACAACTAGTATAATTCTTTCTTGCAATTCTGCAATTTTTGTTTAATTTGGAAGATCGTACTTATTTTAACCCTAGAACGACACTATGGGATTACCACACATCAGAAACAAACGCCTAGAACAGTGTCAACTGTTTCGTAACAATATTTGTAATCAGATTTC